ATGGACCAATCAGCAGGACATAGGCCGGACCAAATAAGGGAATAAAAGCTGGCCACCTCCCCCCACCCAACCCAGCAGCAGCAACCCACTTGGGTCCCTTTCCAGGCTGTGGAAACTTTGTTCTTTCGCTCTTCCCAATAAATTTTGGTGCTGCTCACTCTTTGGGTGCCACCTGTAAGAGCTGTAACACTGACCAGGAAGGTCCACAGCAAGCCAGCGAGACCATGAACCCACCAGAAGGAACAAACTCTGGACACATTAGGAGCCCCTGTCCCTGACCAAGTGTGAACACAATGACCCCAAGGAGAAGGAGCCACCTGTGCCTCAGCCCATGTCCTCCTCTGACACTGAGACATCCAGCAGTGACAATGAGGAGGGTGTGGAGGGGCCAGACCCCAGGCATGGCTGGGCATCTGAGGGTCTCTCCTTCCATAGATGTTTACTGTTTCTTTTTTTTTTTTTTTTTTCTTTTGAGACGGAGTCTCGCTCTGTCGCCCGGGCTGGAGTGCAGTGGCTGGATCTCGGCTCACTGCAAGCTCCGCCTCCCGGGTTCAGGCCATTCTCCTGCCTCAGCCTCCCGAGTACCTGGGACTACAGGTGAGGGAAGGACCCCATAGGCGGCTTGCATCTGAGGCCCTCTTCCTTCCATAGATGTCGCTGTTTCTTTTTTTTCTTGATTTGAGTCTGCCACGCCTGGTTGGAGTGCAGTGGAGGTTGACTTGCCACTGCAGCTCCGCCCTGGCCCAGGCTCCTCCGCCTCCCGGGGGTACCTGGGACTACAGGCGCCCGCCACCTCGCCTCGCTTTGTATTTGTAGACTTTTTTTTTTTTTTTTTTTTTTTTGTATTTTTTTTTTTTAGTAGAGACCGGGTTTCACCGTGTTAGCCAGGATGGTCTAGATCTCCTGACCTCATGATCCGCCTGTCTCGGCCTCCCAAAGTGCTGGGATTACAGGCTTGAGCCACCGCGCCCTGCCAATGTTTACTGTTTCTTAAGCTGAGATACTTTCAAGGGAGAAAATACTTACCTGTTCACTGACTAAACAAAAGTGACTTGAGTAAATTTCCAACCAAGACAAAGTTAGCTTTTTAAAAACTTTTTATTTGAACTACTTATAGAAGCTACAAAAATAGTACAATGAGTGTCCATATGTCCCTCTCCATCCTTCCCCAGTGCTCACATTTTATATAACTATTCCTTGTCAGTTTTTGAGGTAACCACAAACCAAGTGAGAAAGTCTCCAAGCAGTTTTGTCCAACCCTTTGTGTGCACCCGTTGAAGAAGAAGCATGTTCAACTATTTTGACAGGCAAGCCACAGTCCACCTTGTAAGGAATGAGATCTTGAATGACCTCCCTCCTAAGAGTCAGAGCCCATGCTGCTCCCTTCTGGTCCCAGACCCACGTGCCATGAGCATATTTCACCTACTCCAGTCTGTCCTGTGGGCTTCTGCCTCATCCATCATGACCATTTGTGACATTTGCCTGTTCTTTGAAATGCATCATGAATTCTTTGGCCCAGGGGCTACTAGTTAGCACAGAATATCTTAAAAATAAAGCAAATATCTAACCGTTCTAGGGGCTACTAGTTAGCACAGAATATCTTAAAAATAAAGCAAATATCTAACCGCTTTGGAGAGGTAAGAAAGTAACTCACAAGTTTTAATAGTTCTCCCTTCTACAAGAGATCTTAGTGGTACTGATGAGACTCAAATTTGAGGCAGCCTTAGAGACTTTCGAGTGCACAGGAGACTTCTCCCTCCAAATAAATCTTCATACTTGTCTAAGGTGGATAAGAGCCAAGTGTCATTGTGGAGTGAGGTGAATACATATTTATTTGTAGTCTCTGCCATCTCTTTCCATTTTCTTCCATAATTTTGTTAAGTTTTGTTTGAGATAATTGTAGATTCAACTGCAGGTACAAAAACTGTTACAGAGAAATCCCATGTACCCTTTACCCAGCCTTCAGCAATGGTAACATTATCGAAAACTGTAGTACAATGCAACCAGAATATTGACATTGGCATAGTCAAGATACTGAAAAATTCAGTCACCACATGGATCACTCCTGTTGCTGTTTTATAGCCACAGCCACTTCCCTCCCACCTCCACCCCTTTCTTTACCACTAATCCGTTCTTCATTTCCATAATTTTGTCAGTTGAAGAATGACAAAGTGGAATCATACAACATGTAACCTTCAGAATTAATTTTTTTCACTTGGCATAATTTTCAGGAGCTTCATCCTGGTTGTTGTGTGTGTCAGTAGTTTGTGTTGTTCTTTTTTATTGCAGAGTAGTATTCTATGGTGTGAGGGTACCACAGTTCGCTTAACCCTCACCTAGTGAAAAACATCTGGAGCCAGGTGCGGTGGCTCACACCTGTAATCCCAACACTTTGGGAGGCTGAGGCAAGTGGATCACTTGAGGTCAAGAGTTCGAGGCCAGCCTGGCCAAAAGGTGAAACCCCGTCTCTACTAAAAATACAAAAATTAACTGGATGTGGTGGCGCGTGCCCATAATCCCAGCTACTGGGGAGGCTGAGGCAGGAGAATCACTGAACCTGGGAGGCAGAGGTTGCAGTGAGCTGAGATCATGTCATCGCACTCCAGCCTGGGCGACAGAGTGAGTCTCCGTCTCAAAAAAAAAAAAAAAAAAAAAGTTCATTCAATCAAATAACTCAGCAGTCACTCAGATTAGTACTTTGTGAAGATATTCAGGAGCCATCACGGGAAACATGAACCATCATGGTTTGACCCATGACCTGCCCTTTCTGGGAGAACCTGTGCTTGCCAGAAATAGAACCTATACTTCCCAAGAGTTCTAGGAGATGGGATTGGCCCCATTTTCTGGGCTCCCAGGCAAAGCACTCTTATGGAGCAGAGGTTTATCTCCAAGCAGAGCAGAGAGGCTTGTCCCGCTCAGAATCACTTGACACAGGGGCTCCCTTTGAATCCAGCTCAGTCCCTGGCCAGGGCAGCAGGACTGGTTTTGTTGAATGGCCAGGGCAGGCGTGAGCCGTTTGGGCAGGCTTTCCTTGGAAGAGCACATGGTCGGAGTGTGCCTTGAGAGCCTCACGACACCTCTCCAGAACAAGGAGTCAGGATGGAATTGGAACATAGGAAGAGACACATGGCAGAAGTGTTTACCCTCCCTTTATTCCTTGTTACATGCAGTGTCTGGTGTCGCTCATACACTACCCACTGCTCCTGTGCTCTGCCCGAAGGCAAGATCTTTAAAAGGCTGAGTGAATGAGCTTGGCCCCTCAACTTCTTGTGCTTCCCGGGGGTGCACCACAGCAGGGGTACCCACGACTTGCAGCCCAGCGTCTGTGAGCCCTGCTGGCTGACCATACCAAGGGAGGGAAATGTTTGTTTCCATTGTCTCTTTTATTGCTCCACTCACAACATCCCATCTCAAGCTGCTTTTGCTTTGTTTGGGATATTTCTCCAGGTGAGGTTGAGGCCCTCAGTTCCCTCTCACAGTTCAACTGTGCTTTACTTACCTGATGGTTCTTCTTCCTTCTCCAAACCTTAGTCATCCATCACAGCAACAAATAAAGCAAAAGTAGCAGGGATTTTCTGATGAGCCCAGTGTGCTGGGGCACCCCATAAATTAGAGCTGATTTTACACTGGCCTGTCTGGGTCCCCACAAAGCTTTCACTTTGGCCCCCAGTTGTTCTCCTCAGAGGCCAGAGGGAGCCCTTTGGCCTTCAGTGTCCCATGTTGCAGGGAGTTTTGACTCTCGCAGGGAATCCCGGTGGCCACCCGGATGTGCTGGATGGGATGACCCCAGCTCCAGCTGCCTTTTCTGTGGAGAATCAGAGTTCAAATTGGAACATACCTTTTTCTCTCACTCAGGTATGCAAAAGCGGGCCCTGACATTGCGATGGGTGGATTCCGGAGATTCAAATGCCCACTGATGGGCCCCAACTTCTCCACTTAGAGTCTGTGGTTACTATTTCCAGCAGGCCAAGATGGACACCATAGCCCTTGTATAAACTTCTAGTCTTATACAGCTCCACAAGGCAATGATACCTTCTTTAATAAATGTTGGGCTGGACGCGGTACCTCGCACCTATAATCCCAGCACTTTGGGAGGCCGAGGCAGGCAGATCATGAAGTCAGGAGTTTGAGACCAGCCTGATCAACATGGTGAAACCCTGTCTCTACTAGAAATTTAAAAATTAGCCAGGCATGGTGGTGGGCACCTGTAATCCCAGCTACTCAGGAGGCTGAGGCAGGAGACCCGGGAGGCGGAGGTTGCAGTGAGCTGATATCACACCACTGCACTCCAGCCTGGGCAACAAGAGCCAGACTCCATCTCAAAAAAATAAATAAATAACTAAAAATAAATGTTTAATACTGCCACCTTCATGCTGACCACAAGAAGGTGCTGTTCCTCCACTCATGCACAGAAAGGTCTATGGTTTCTTACAAAACCCAATGACACAGCTGAAACTGAGCTGAGACCTACAAATGGGGATTTACTAAAATCCTTGAGAAAAGGAAAGGGAAAATAAATGTTGAGACTGTCACGACTCAGTTAATCTGGTGTATAGGCCGGTTTTCTCACCATCAGCTCACACTTGACCACAAGGAGGCCTCTGGTCCTAGTTCGAGGCTGTGCTCTCAGAAGGGACCATCTTTACCCCCACCACCAAGGAACTTCTTGGGGGACACATCTACCCCTATGTCCAGCCCCAAGAAAGGAGGGCAAAGAGAGGTTGCCGCATCCCTTTTCCAGCTTACTATTAGGAGGAAAGTCCTCCCAAGACTAAAAGACCCAGCTCACTCTCAGTAACTAACAGCAGCAGCCATGCTCCCTAAAGATTCTGCCTCGCCTGGCAAGGCCTCACTCCTCTAGTGTGGTCTCCAAAGTCCCAGAATATTCCTGGGATATTCTGGAATACTCCTGTCAGAGCATATGTAACTGGGCAGGCACCAAGTCTCACTCCCTCTGAAGCCCAGTACTTCAGCTCCCGTCTTCCCATCTACCTTCTCAGGATGGTTTCCTGTCTGAGGATCACAGCATTCCCGGGCATCAGCCCTGAACACACCTCTGCCTCAGCATTTCCAGCGGTGGGTGAGGAGGACCACAGATCGTTCAGCCTGGCAAGCCACACCGGTCTTAGTTCTGAGGGAAGGAATGCTTCCACCAGGTCACACAACAATGACTTCATTGAACTGGACGACAAGACAAACACCTAGTCATTGCAGGCTTTGCATGCCTCTGAGTGAACAGGTAAAGAAGGGAGTCACTTGACTGCCTGGGATGACTTTTTTCCTAATTACGAAGGGTCATTGGACTTCACGATAGAAGTAAGGAAAAATATGTCTGGGATGCAGGACATCCACTGGGGCGTCTCTTAGAATTAATATACCTTCTGATTAAAGTCAGTGGACAACTACAACCCAATGCAGGCAGGACTGTGAATGGCGCAGCCCCTTCAGGAATGAAGGTTTGGGTCATCCCACCAGGCAAAAAACCACACAACCAGCTCAAGTGCTTGCTGTGGACAAGGGAATATGGAATGAGTAACAGAAGGTATTTATAAATATCAGGTATAATAAACATGTGACCAATTGTTTAAATGAGAATGGTAGTTGCTGTGAATATTTATTTTCTTATGAATATGTTGTGTGTGTGTGTGCGTAAAATCTTTTCTGTCTTCTTTTATCCCCTTATATACTGTAGGATGCATTAACTTTACACTACAATATTTAAATACTCTTAACTTTTTATCATAGTATTTAAGTTACAGGATATTAAGAAGAGTGAACATTGCCCAAGGATTTTGCATCCTTTTCTGGGGAAAAGTTAATGCGTTTTCAGTTATATTTTTTGAGACAGAGTCTTGCTCTGTTGCCCAGGCTAGAGTGCAGTGGCACCATCTCGGCTCACTGCAACCTCCACCTCCCGGGTTTAAGCAGTTCTTCTTCGTCAGCCTCCCAAGTAGCTGAGATTATAGGCACCTGCCACCACAGCCGGCTAATTTTTGTATTTTTAGTACAGAACAGGGTTTTACCATCTTGGCCAGGTTGGTCTCGAACTCCTGCCCTCAGGTGATCCACCCACCTCGGCCTTCCAAAGTGCTGCGATGACAGGCATGAGTCACTGCGCCCAGCCATTGCATTTTCAGTTCTATGCCAGATAGTTGTATCCTGTTAGGCAGACGTATGACTTTGTTATTATCTTTATATGGAGATCAAGTATGGTTTTAAGGAGCTGTGTACGTGTATGGGTGCCAGGTTGACCAGAGATGGACTGGTGATTAATTTTATGTGTCAGCTTGACTAGGACATGATACCCAGTCGTTTTGTTAAACACCAATCTAAGTGTTGTTATAAAGGTATTTTTTAGATGTGATTGACATTGAAATCAGTAGACTTTGAGTAAAGCAGATTACCCTCCATAATGTGGATGAGTTTCATCCAGTCAGAGAAGGCTTAAGCAAAGACAGGTTTCCTGAAAAAGAAGCATTTCTCAAAACTACAAGATGTTTCCAGCCTCTTGCTGTGCAAAATTAGGACTCAAGACTGCAACGTCAATTCTTACCTTCATTTCCAGCCTGGTCACCTGCCCTACACATTTCAGATGTGCCAGCCCCCACAATCACTACTAAGTTTCTTAAAGCAAATTTACTCTTGGCTGGGCGCGGTGGCTCACACCTGTAATCCCAGCACTTTGGGAGGCTGAGATGGATGGATCACCTGGGGTCAGGAGTTTGAGATCAGCCTGACCAACATGGAGAAACCCTGTCTCTACTAAAAATACAAAATTAGCCAGGTGTGGTGGCACACGTCTGTAATCCCAGCTACTCAGGAGGCTGAGGTAGAAGAATCACTTGAACCCAGGAGGCGGAGGTTGCAGTGATCCGAGATCGCGCTATTGTACCCCATCCTGGGCAACGACAGTGAAACTCCGTCTCAAATAATAAATAAAATTCTCACACTCTCTCTCTCCATTTTAAATATATATATAATGTCTCTTTATATAGAGATATATACATACACAGAGATATACATACACAGATATATAGATCTATATATATAGATATCTATATATAGATCTCTAGAGAGATCCAATAGATCTATAATGGTCTGGTTCTCTTCTGGGGACCCCTAATACAACACCCAAAAAATTAATGAGACCGGGCACGGTGGCTCACGCCTGTAATCCCAGCACTTTGGGAGGCCAAGGCGGGTGGATCACGAGGTCAGGAGATTGAGACCATCCTGGCTAACATGGTGAAACCCTGTCTCCACTAAAAATACAAAAAATTAGCCGGGCGTGTTGGCGGGTGCCTGTAGTCCCAGCTACTCGGGAGGCTGAGGCTGGAGAATGGCGCGAACCCGGGAGGCAGTGCTTGCGGTGAGCAGAGATCGCACCACTGCAGTCCAGCCTGGGGACAGAGCGAGACTCTGTCTCAAAACAAAAAAAGATTAATGAATTGTGCGCCCACATACACAGTAGCTTTATTCATAATAGCCAAAGGATGGACACAACCCACGTGTCCATCAACAGATGAATGGATAAAGAAAATGCAGTAGATACATTCAGTGGAATATTATTCAGGCTTAAACAGGAAGGAAACCCTGTCACATGCTGCAGCAAGGATGAGCCTTGAAAACATTGTGCCAAGTGAAGTAAGTTAATCACAAATGGACAAATACTGTTTGATTCCAGTTACACAAGATAACTACAGTAATCAAACGTATAGAGATAAAAAGTAGAATGGTGGTTGCCAGGGGCCACGTAAAGCAGGGAATGGGGAGTTAGTGTTTAATGGTTATGGAGTTACAGTTTGAGATGATGTAAAAGTTCTGGAGACGGATGATGGTGCAGGCTGCACAACAGTGTGAATGTACTTAATGCCAATGAATTGTACATTTAAAAATGGTTAAAGTGGGAAATGTTATGTCATGTATATTTTACCACAAAAGGGAGAAAGACTTTTTAAAATTAACAAATTAAGAAACACTGTACACACTGTTGGTGTTGTCCCCTCAGAGCTGTATTCTTGGTAGTTGAATCTCTAGTTGAACTTGTCAGAAGATATTTTGGAGGAGGCTTTCTTGGGCAACACAGTAGTTACACTGGCAACTCTACACTCATGTAGTGCTGTCCCTATTTTTCAGTGTGTGTTCTTTGATTTCTTTTAAACCATGGACATATGAAATATGTCAAATTATAACAAATATTAGCAAGTCATTCCTAAATAATAACAGAATGGAAACAGTAATAGTTTACATTTACTTTTCTTTAATCATAGTATCTAAAGGTACTGTGTTAGTCTGGGTCCAATAATGAGACTGAAACCACACTGTAGGTTAAACAGGTAAAGTTTACTATAATGAATGAGTAAACTCTGATCAGCCAGGCATGGTGACATGCACCTGTAGTCTCAGCTACTCAGGAGGCTGAGGCAGGAGGATTGCTTGAGGCCAGGAGTATGAGACTGTAGTGTGCTATAATCATAGCACCTGTGAATAGCCACTGGACTCCAGCCTGGAAAACGTAGTGAGACTCCCTCTCTGAAAAAACAACAAATCTGATTAAAGTATGTCTAGAAAATATAAGGAACCTGTGGCTAAGGACAAATACTCAAAGACGACAAACTTGAAAGGGACCCCTTCCCCAAATCTGGGTTTCAGATCTGACGGGAGCAGGTATAGGTCAGCCTACTGGCTAGCTACTGTGTAGAAGTCTGATGGCTTGCCCAGGCGGGATCTGGTGTGCAGTCAAGGGGAAGGCAGGAAGGAACCCACTAGAATGCAGGCAGGACATAGGTCATCAGCAAGCAGTGGCGTGAGTGCAGAGGGAAAGGTGATGGGTACAGGTGAGCCAACGGCTCTACAGAGAGCGGTGGCTCGATGGGAACAGGTGAAGAATTGGGGGCGCAGGTGAGGAATTGGGGGCGCAGGTGAGGAATTGGGGGCACAGGTGAGGAATTGGGGGCGCAGGTGAGGAATTGGGCTGCTAGTGGAGTCAGGAGGGCTTTCAAGTTCCAGTTTTCATATCAAGTGAGGTGCTAGGTTATTGCTAGAACAGCCAATAGTTGCAGTGTTGCCAAGGAAGTGTGTATCCTGGTAAAGAGACAGAGGCAGAGCTCCACCCACTACCCTCAGGGGACTACTTGAAATCCCCTTCCTCCTGCAATGTCCTGCCAACATTGTCTATTAAAAATGCTTAATAGGCCGGGCGCGGTGGCTCAAGCCTGTAATCCCAGCACTTTGGGAGGCCGAGACGGGCGGATCACGAGGTCAGGAGATCGAGACCATCCTGGCTAACACGGTGAAACCCCGTCTCTACTAAAAAATACAAAAAAAAACTAGCCGGGCGAGATGGTGGGTGCCTGTAATCCCAGCTACTCGGGAGGCTGAGGCAGGAGAATGGCGTAAACCCAGGAGGCGGAGCTTGCAGTGAGCTGAGATCCGGCCACTGCACTCCAGCCTGGGCGACAGAGCAAGACTCCGTCTCAAAAAAAAAAAAAAAAAAAAAAAGGCTTAATATTTTGCTCATTGCAAAGGTTAGATGCTTAGAGGAAATCTGTCCGTTGTCACAGAGCATATAGTGAAGGGTTAATTTGGAGCTGAGAAGCAGTAAGTTGATAAGTGTCATGTACTGATGCTCCCTAGACAATACCTTCTAATTTCTGCATTTCTGCATGGCTACTATTCCTCCTGCAAAACGATGTTTTGATGATGTCTGAGTTCATCACTCTGCAAAAAGTAAGTCATGTGGCTCTTTGTATTTGAAAATGAAATTGTCTAACCTGTCATTTATTTCACATGAAATATGACACCCAAAGCAGTATGTGAAAGAAAACTTTTCATTCGTTGATATCAGTTATTAATTAGAGCTGCCAAAATACCACCATTCTTACCTGTATATCAGTTTCTGCTTATCAAAACACTGCTTACAATAAATTTGGTGACATCTGGCAAACTGCCTGTTGCGAGTGCTATTCATCAGCCTGCACTCTGGTCATGCATTTATTTCCAAAAACTCATAAAGCTCCTGGCCAGGCCCAGTGGCTCATGCCTGTAACCCCAGGACTTTGGGAGGCCAAGGCAAGAGGATTGCTTGAGCCCAGGAGTTCAAAACCAGCCTGGGCAACATAGAGAGACCCTTGTCTCTACAAAACCAAATCTAAAAAAAATTTGCCAGGCATGGTGGTGCATGCCTGTGATCACAGCTACTTGGAAGGCTGAGGCAGGAGGACTGCTTGAGCCCAGGAGGTGGAGGCTGCAGTGAGCCATGATCGTGCCAATGCACTTCAGCCTGGGCGACACAGCAACACCCTGTCTCAGAAAGAAACTATCTTGACTTAGAAACATATCTATGCTTAAAATTTTCTAAACACACTGCAGAGCTTCTCAAACAGAGCACTTAATGTGTGCTCAATAAAGTATACAATCTTCACACAGGTGAAAGCCAGAGGATGCAGCATCAGCCCTTCCTGCGCTTTGTAGCAGAGTCACATCAGTCACATAGACCTGCCTAGTGCTCCGCCCCGGAAATATTCTTCAACTCAACAAAGACCATAGATAAAGGATGTACTTTCTGAACTCCAAATCCATACACAAGGGTGAGTAAACTTATGAAGACAAAGAGCCTGAATGTTGCCTGGTCCTGCTCTGGAAATCTTGGACACACGGTTAGCACCCATGAGAAACCCCACAGAAAAACAAACCTCTAAATCCAGGGCCAGTTTGGTCTCACAAAGGCTGAGATCCCCAGATTTCCCTATGCCTGCCTACCCACCCCAGGAGAAACTGAATTGGAAGTGTGTGATTTCTACAAAACAGCTGCTAAGCCATCGAACTTCATCATCCTCATCCCTCCCAGCTCACCTTTTTTTAATTTTTATTATTTATTTTTTTAAAAAACGGAGATGGTGTTGCCCTCTGTTACCTACCCAGACTGGTCTTGAACTCCTGCCCTCAAGTTATCCTCCCGCCTCGGCCTCCCAAGTCGCTAGGATTACGCCCCCCGCGCCCCCCCCCCGCGCCCCCCGCGCGCCCCGCCCCGCCCCCCGCGCCCCCTCTGCACGCCCCGCCCCGCGCCCCGCCTCTGCGCGCCCTCCGCGCCCCGCCTCTGCACGCCCCGCCCCGCCCTCCGTGCCCCGCCTCTGCACGCCCCGCCCCCCGCGCCCCGCCCCGCCCCGCGCTGGCAGAGCGGACCCAGGCCCTTGGCCGCCCCGCGTCATGGCCGCGCCCGCCCCGGTCACGCGGCAGGTTAGCGGCGGCACCGCCCCGGTCCCGGCCCCGAGCGGCCCCGACCGTGGGCAGCCCCTGGCAGCCGCCGTGGCCGAGCTGCCGGTGCTGGACGCCCGCGGGCAGCGGGTACCTTTCGGCGCGCTGTTCCGGGAGCGCCGCGCCGTGGTGGTGTTCGTGCGGGTGAGCGGGTGGCGCGGCTGGGAGGGAGGCGCGGCCCGGAGTCCCGGGCAGGCTGCGGGATGCGAGTTGCGCCTCCTGCTTCTTAGGACGGAAACGGGAAGGCAGCCTCCCCAGCCGCGGCCGCTTCCCAACTAGGGCGGGGCAGGACGAGGGCGAGGCCCGCTTCCCACGCGCCGGGCGCCCGGACCGCCTGTCCCGGCCCCGCGGGCGCCGCCTGTAGTCGCGTCACGCACAGCGAAGTACCGGGCTCTTTCGGGGCGCGAGGGTGCTGCGTTACTAACTTGTCCTTTCTGCCGAATTGGTTTTCAGCATTTTCTGTGTTACATCTGCAAGGAATACGTAGAGGATCTGGCCAAAATCCCGAAGAGTTTCTTACAAGTGAGTTTCTGAGCGTGGGCGGCCCAGTGCAGGCTTCTGCAGACCTTGCGAGCGGGGCGGGGGAGGACGCGGCTCCAGCGCGGCACTTGCCACCCGGATTGCCCCTCCCCGCACCTCTCTCCACCCTCGCCCCTCCAAAGGAAGAGAGACGTCAGAGATCTATTTCTGCCCTAACTCACTGGGTGCTGCCTGGTGGCGAACGTACTAACAATTGTGGTGTTGCCTGGTAACCTGGCGCTCGTTCTCAAATGTTGACTGATAATGCCCTAAAACAAATGCTGGAAATGGTTGATATTTTCTTCCCTTTAATTTTGTTGCACTGCAAATAGCTGCTCATTGTGGGAAAATACTAATATATCGTAAAGGTGCAAATGTTTATGTTAATAGGCTGCAAGTTCCATGTTCCCTAGCACAGCCACATACTTGTTTCTCTTCAGGCACAGATAAGTTTGTGCCCAAGTGAGCTTTTTGAGGGAAGGCATTGGGCAGCCTTTATAAAACAATGTTTTTTCAGCAGACCTTATCAATTAGGATGTGAAAAAATAACTGATTAAATAACTGTGCCTAGTTTTAAAAGTATGTCTTTGGGGAGAATATAGAGAATTATTGACTATATCATTTCGAAAACAATGTTTTGACCGTTCGTCTGCGTATCCTTTTATTCTCTTTTTAAAAATTGACATATATAATTGTATATGTTTATGGGATACAGTGTAATATTTTGATAGGCATTTACGTTGTGGAATGATTAAATTGAGATAATATACCCATCATGTCAGATAGTGATTTTAGTTATTTTTTTTGTGATGACAACGTGTAAAAACTAGTCTTTAAGCAATTTTGAAGTATACATTATTAACTAGTCACCATGCTGTGCAGCAGATCTCTAAAAGTTATTCCTCTTGTTTAACTGAAACTTGGTACCCTTGGATCATCTCCCTTCTCCTCATCTCTGAGTAACCAGTCTGTGGTAACCATCATTCCACTCTACTTTTTTCGTGTCCATAGCTAAGTGAGATCATGCGGTAGTTTTCTTCCTGTGCCTGGCTTATTTCACTTACATGATGTCCTCCAGGTGCATCCAGTGTTGTCACAAATAACAGAAAAATGTCTTTTTTATGACTGACTAATATTACATTGTGATACCGCATTTTCTTTTTCTTTTTTTTTTTTTTTTTTTTTTTGAGACTGAGTTTTCGCTCTTGTCACCCAGGCTGGAGTGCAATGGGGCGATCTCGGCTCACTGCAACCTCCGCCTCCCGGGTTCAAGGGATTCTCCTGCCTCAGCCTCCCGAGTAACTGGGATTACAGGCATGCGCCTCCATGCCCCGCTAATTTTGTATTTTTAGTAGAGATGGGGTTTCTCCATGTCAGTCAAACTGGTCTCGAACTCCTGACCCCTCCACCCACCTGGGCCTTCCAAAGTGCTCGGATTACAGGCGTGAGTCACTGCGCCCAGCCTATACCGCATTTTCTTTATATTTATCCATTGTTGAACACTGAGGTTGCTTCTGTATCTTGGCTATTGTGAATCATGCTGTAATAAAACATGGGAGTGGAGATATCTCTTCAACATACTGATTTCATTTCCTTTGGATAAATGCCCAGTAGTGGGACTGCTGAATCATATTATAGTTTATTTTTGATTTTTTAGTAACTTCCAGACTGTTTTCCATAATGGCTGTACTAATTTACATTCCTAACAACAGCATACAAAAGTTCCTTTTTCTCCACATCCTCACCAAACACTTATCTTGCATCTTATTGATAGCCGTTTAAGGAGTGTGAGGTTATATCTCATTGTACTTTGAATTTGTATTTCCCTGATGAGTAGTGATTTTGAGCATCTTTTCATATATCTCTTGGCCATTTGTATGTCTTTTGAGAGCTATTCATATCCTTTGTCCTTTTTTTTTTTTTTTTTTTTTTTTTTGAGGCGGAGTCTCACTCAGCCCCCCAGGCTGGAGAGCAGTGGCCCAATCTTGGCTTGCTGCAGCCTTCGCCTCCTAGGGTCAAGTGATTCTCCTGCCTCAGCCTCTAGAGTAGCTGGGATTACAGGCACGTGCCACCACACCCAGCTAATTTTTGTATTTTTAGTAGAGACAGGGTTTCGCCATATTGGTCAGGCTGGTCTCGATCTCCTGACCTCAGGTGATCCACCTGCCTTGACCTCCCAAAGTGCTGGGATTACAGGTGTGAGCCACCATGCTCAGCCCTTTGTCCATTTTTTAATCAGGCTATGTTGTTTTCTTGCAAAGTTGTTAGAGTTTCTTTTACACTTTGGAAATTTGCCCCTTATCAGATGTTGAGTTTGCAGATATTTTCTCTCAATCTGTGAGTTGTCTCTTCTCTGTTGATTATTTCCTTGGCTGTGCAGAAGCTTTTTAGTTTGATATAGTCCCATTTGTCAATTTTTGCTTTTTGTTTTCTGTATTTTTGAGGTCATATTCTAGAAATGATTGTTTATACCCATGTCATGTGGCAGTTTTGTAGTCTTCTTCTAGTAGTTTTATAGTTTTAGGTCTTACATGTAAGTCTTGAAATTCCTACTTAGCAAAAGAAACATCTGAATTAATATTTTACCATACGTATCTTTGCATTAACTCACACAATTTTGCTGTTTATTCCATTCCTCTAGAAGCCTATAGGTGGCATTAGAATGAAACAGAAGAGTTGGGTTAAGGGATGTTGTATAAAATGTGCATACCTTCTAATAATATATACATGTCATTTTTTTCCTCCTAAGGAAGCAGATGTCACCCTTATAGTGATTGGACAGTCATCCTACCATCATATTGAGGTAAATATCTAGTACATTGGGAGACTAAAGAATAAAATCTTTTTCCGACATAAAAATTACATTATTTAAACCACTAAATGTAGGCTAAATTGGCTGAAGTTAGAGTATCGTTACTTTTCTCTCATTTGTTCTTATAAAAATTCCAACCATTCTCTCTTTTCAGCCTTTTTGCAGACTGACTGGATATTCTCATGAAATCTATGTCGATCCTGAGAGAGAAATTTATAAAAGATTGGGAATGAAACGAGGTGAAGAAATTGCCTCCTCAGGTAAGACATAACATGTCTCAAATAGAAAACACTGGTGGTGTATTTTCATATTTGTGTATATATGCATAGGGAAACATGGTCAATTCATAAATCAGGCCTTTTTTTTTTTTTTTTTTTTTAAAAGATGGAGTCTCTCTCTGTTGCCCGGGTTGGAGTGCAGTGGCGCAATCTCGGCTCACTGCAACCCCCACCTCCCGGGTTCAAATGATTCTCCTGCCTCAGCCTCCTGAGTAGCTGGGATTACAGGCGCCTGCCACTATGCCCAGCTAATTTTTTGTATTTTTAGTAGAGACAGGGTTTCACCATATTTGCCAGGCTGGTCTCGATCTCCTGACCTGCCTCGGCCTCCCAAAGTGCTGGGATTACAGGCGTGAGCCACTAAGCCCGGCCTTGGGCTGCTTTTTATTATTCTAATAAGTGGTCTAGATACACCAGGCTCCAGAAGATTCATTTTCTGGGTGTAATGACATGGAAGGCTGTTAGCAAAGCACTGTTCAATGGAAATAAGCTGCAAAAGTGTTTTCAATGTGGTTCCATTTTTGTGAAAACAGAAATGATTTTCATAAAGATCGTGCGCGTGTACACTTCATTATATGCTCTATTATTGCATTTAAGGGGACCAGAGAGTATAGTTAGTTGAAAAGTTTCATGTTTATTCATCCTTACATTATCTATGTTCTCTGCCCTTGCCACAGTTCCTTGTAATTAATAGAGCTTAGAAAACTTGAGTTGCACTGGTTATGTGTGTTTCTGAAATGCCAGATAAGAGAACTCAACTCAAACAAAAATCAATCATTTTGAATAAATATTATTGACGTCTTGTCTGATACCCACTGTGTTGGATGCTCCCAGGAGGACAGTGGTAAAATACATAGTCCCCACCACGCAGAGTCATCGTCTACTCTGGGAGAGAGACACAAACAGCTAATCACAATGCCATCTAAGGGCCAGTGGTGGAGGGAGGCATTCCTGACTGGAAATACCTTTGTCAGCAATTTAAGTGGAGAAGGATCTGGGCGGGCTTCTCAGAGGAGATGGTCTCAGCTCACTGTAAAAGGAGTTAGCTGGGTGAAGTGAGGGTGGAGAAGGGCACTCTAGACAGAAAGTAGCATGTGCAAAAGCACAAAGGCATGAGAAAACGTGACTCCTTCAGAAAAATACAGGTCCTTGCCTCTGGCCAGAGTGTAAGACCCAGCTAGGGGAATTGGTGTGAGCCAAGGGATAAGTTACAGCCAGTTCATGTTGAACCTGGGGTAATGTGCCAAGGAGTTTGGATTTATTCTGAAGCAGTTGGGGAATTATACAAGTGTTTGAAGCAGAGAAGTGAGACAGTCATATAACCCATGTGGAGCAGGGATTAGTGCTGGCCAAACCAGAGCCAGTGATATTCATGACAGGGTTGTAGGGTAGATATAAGCTAGAAAGAAATGGCAAGGCCTCAAGAGGGGATAGAGAGGAGGAGATGGATCTGGGAGCTGTTTGTGAGGCAGAGGTGCATGATACCTTTATTGATGTTTTTTGTTTGTTTTTTTTGTTGTTTTTTTGTTTTATGAGACAGAGTTTCACTCTTATTGCCCAGGCTGGAGTGCAATGGTACGATCTCGGCTCACTGCAACGTCTGCCTCCTGGGTTCAAGCGATTCTCCTGCGCTAGCCTCCTGAGTACCTGGGATTACAGGCATGTGCCACCATGCCCTACTAATTTTGTATTTTTAGTAGAGACGGGGTTTCTCCATGTTGGTCAGGCTGGTCTCAAACTCCCGACCTCAGGTGATCCACCCCCCTCGGCCTCCCAAAGTGCTGGGGTTACAGGCATGAACCACCGCGCCCGGCTCATTTATTGATATGTTTAAAGACAAAGACCT